AAATAGAGCGTTTTTGTTTTTTAAAGTTTGGTTATCTGATATGACATGGTATAGTAATATTAATTCATTAACCGTTACGTTTTAATTCTTTCCATAGACCAACGCAAGGAGCCTAAGATGGATTCTAAAGTTAAAATTGTCCTTCCCATACTAATTGTTGTAGTCTTGATAATAATTGCTGCAGCTACAGGTGTTTTGCTGATCATGAGAAGAAGACACAAAAAGGTGGAGGGGCGGAAGAACAACAATAGTTGAAAGAGAAACTCGACTACTTCCCGTTTGACTACCGGAGAAGCCCATGAATATTAGCAACCTTTAGATACGACGAAGAGTACGAGATCGAGTACGAGTACGAGTTTTTCAAAACTGGACCTGTGCACGTGCTTAACACTAAATCGCAGTCGATTCCCGATTTTTTTCTTTTTTACAATCTTAAGTTTTAATCTACGTACACGATCAAGACTACACAAAGATAGTGCCTTCCTTTAAAAGTTTAAAACCTCATATTTGTACTCGTTCTCGTTCTCGTCGGATCTAAAGGTCCGCTCTAATGACTGCCCTGCTCGTCGTGCTTCTGGGTGATTGCAGGTTACTGATAGTGCAGGACTCTATTTAAACTAGCCTAGCTAAACTAGTTGTTCCTGTCAAAATATTGAATATAAATGATAATAAAAAACTAAAACAAATCCATTTATTTGCTTAATGTTAAAAAAATGTTTTTTAAAGGGCATAACTTTAATACCATAACCTTTTTATACCATAGCAGCCAGAAAAATGTAGCACTGAATTTTTTTAAAAACACTCACTCACGCACGCACACACACGCACACACACACCACACACACAACCTTTGGTTATTACATTTTTTTGTTTAATTTGTAATTGTTTTATTTAACAAATAAGGCAAAGTGAATATCGTGGAATATTTACCGAGACACGAGTGTTCGAGCGGCGAGGTAAATATTCCCCGATATTCACTGAGGCTGAGGCAAATAATTTTTTAGCATAAATACACAGGTGATTGTTTCAAAAAAAGGAAGATAAAGGAAATTTTTTGCGGTAACAGCAACAAAGCGGCTGGCCGCCATTTTGGATTATCGCTGGAGGTGATTATCGTGGGATGGTGTAAGTTTCTCGACCAATCAGCGCACGAGATTTTTGAATAATCACCTGTGTATTTTTACTAATTGAATTTAGCCATATGAGTTCTGGATTCTTCTGAATTTTTTATGATTCGCTATGCGAAGTCAGTTTAACTAACAAAGATAGTTTTCTTGCTTTGTGCAGTGTTTGTAAAAAATATATATAAAAGCTGTTTCGGGATTTTCTGCGTTCAAAAGCTAGTAGTGGGGATCAACGTGGTAGGGCACAACTATGTTCCTGATAATGCTAAATTCTTACTAATGACTGCCGCTTGCAACCCAAGTTTTCTTTAACCACCAACGATTTGCCGTATAGCATATTTTGGACTTGCACTGTACATCATGTGACTGTATGAGAAAACAGCAGATCCATTGTTTCATATTCAGATGCTTTTTTTTTTCCGAGGTTTGCGTCACAGTTTGCTGGAATGATTAACGAATAGAGTGATTAAATATAAATAATCATTTTTCTTAAACTTTTTCTCGCTCGATGTGTCTATTTTTGATCTTTTGGTTCTAGGGATTTAGGATTTCTGATACTTGGAAATAATGAATTTAAATCAAATTAACAAGTCGGGAACCTAAACATAGCAAATTGCTAATCGAAGGGAATGACTTATGAAAGATGTATGGGTCATTTTACTGAACACTGTTCACCAGAGAGAAAGACAATGCGTTAATGGATCCACCCACTGCCCCCCTACTACTCCTCCTCTCCACCCTTACCCCTCAATTTTTAAACAACTCCGACACCTCAGTTCGGCTTTAACCTACCTTTGCACTTTTGGTACTTTCTAGATTTAATAAAGATAATGAGAACAATGTTTATAATTTCTGTAACAAGTGTTATGCTCAGCCAGATGATGAAAATAACCGGTTCTACGAAAAAAAAAAAAAAAAAAAAAAAAAAAAAAAAAAAAAAAAAAAAAAAAAAAGGTAAATAAATAAATAAAGTAAATTAATAAATAAAAAAGTTTAATGGGGGCAATGTGAATTATCAGCAAGTTAATCAATACATGGATATAGGCGAGCAATTGTGCAAAATGCATTGACTGATAACTTAGAGCGTTTGCTTGTTTTCTTTCTTTTTTTTTCCTTTTTTTTTCTTTTTCTGCCACCCATTTGCTTTGTTTTTTCCCCGTTCGCTTAGAAAACCAAATTAACTTTAAATAATATATGAAAGTCTACTGCATACCGTTAATGATGTTACTGCTAGCTGCTGCCCAAAGATCTCTTGTATTTCTGATAATTTCCACTGCATTGACCTGTTATTAACAAAGAAGATTTGAATTATGAAACTACTATTGCAATGTTCAAATAATTGAACAATCAATCAATAATTTGAACAATCAGTTTTCGATGGTGTTGATGATGACGATGGTGATGATGGGCATTATGACGATTGTGACAATGATAATAATGGTGATGATAATTGCGATGATGATTAGTGATAATGATAATAGCCATTGTTGTAGTGATGTAGATAGTGGCGATGATGATAATTGTTGATGATGGTGATGATAATTGTTGTTGATGATGGTGATGACAATGGCGTTGATGTTGATAATGACGATGATGGTGGTGTTTGCGATAGTATTGGTGATTATAGTGATAGTATGAATGATAGTAATGGTGATTTTAAAGATGCTGATGATTATTGACGATAGTGCTGTTGATGATCTTGGTGAAGATGATGACGGTGATGATGGTGACGATGATGGCGATGATGAAGGCGATGTTAATGATGGTGATGCTGTTGATGAGAATGATCAAACATTAACGATATACATAATTTTAATCCTCTCCACTCAATTTATTATAATTTCATAGCAAAACTATTTATAGTCATAGCAACATACTTTTTTGTTGTCAAGTATTTTAATATTTTTTCAAATAATATATTTGGCTGTTACAATCAACATGAGTCCCAAAAAAGGAACTTTTTTTTTTTTTTCAAGGATAAAATTCTATTTTCAAAATCACTTATATATGAGCAGTGTAGTAGTGTGGTTGCCGTATTTTTGTATGTTTTTTGTTTGTTTTTTTTTTTTCCCCAAAAAGGAACTTAATTTTATAAATATTTTGTAAAAATGGCACTTATCAATTAAAAAGTTCCAGCTCAAGAATAATTCATAATATTTACATATTTGCATGATATTTGCATATCTGTAATATTATGCCATGCAACTCCAACAGTATTCTCAGGGCGACATCTATACATCCCATAATCTTGTTTACGCGTGGTTGTCAATACTAGCTCGCTTCCACCTGGATACGACGTTGTCCCAGTTGAAAATATTTTACCATCAGCTGTATACCACGTGATATTAGGCAGAGGGACACCACTTGCAGCACACCGTAAATGAATTGTGTCACCCAAAATAGAAGATACGTTATTCCCAGATGACAAGCGGTTATCAATTATTGGTTTATCTGCACGATTGAAAGAATGTTGTTAAAGTCATGCTGGTCAAATAAAGATATATCAATTAATCCAAGGAGTCAAAAGCAAGTCAACTGAAAGCTGGAGTTTATTTTATTATTTTTGTTTGCCGCTTTTCCGCACAATCCAAACATGGAATTGATCATACCATATATGGAGTGAGCTTTCTCTACTCCAACTTCGACTAACATGTAGAGTAAAGTCTTGATATGTCTTGACAACATAGCAGACACAGAATTTTTTTCTAAATTTACCCCCTAAAACTAAATAAACACAAGAAATATATCATGATCGTATAAATAAGAAGTATGTTTAATTCATGTACAATGAATATAATTCAAAATTCATAATCTCATGAACTCCTCCAAACATCACTTATATCTTACACACTTACACACTACAATAATGTCAATCTTTGTMAATACTGGGACCTCATTAGGATTATTGTTGGCATAACATTCATAAACCCCACTTTGATTCCTGTTAATCCCTTGGATTCTTAGCGTCGCTTTTCCTATTCCTTTGCTCATGAAGGAGTTACTGTTCCTTGGTACTCTTAACCACGTGACATTAGGCGTTGGCAAACCACGTGACAAACAAGGAATATCCAATTGGGATCTTTCTTGTATTATCATCGATGGTAGTGTAATTGGAAAAGTGATTTCTGGATAGTCTGGAAAGTTATTTCAGAAGCAAAGTGGTAATTAGTTTCAACAAGTAAAATTATACATTTTTGAATAATATTTATAACATAGGTACGACATAATGACTGGCTACTTTATGGAAAGGAAATTGGCGGAACACTTACTCGTTACAATAAGTTGCACCGTGTTAGTAACTGAAGGGCCCCATTTTAGTTTTAAACTACATCCATAGGTGCCATTGTCGGCTATAGTTACGTTACGAATGACCAAAGTAGCCAATGGTTCAACATGGACGCGAGTAGGGTTTAACAACCTTGCAGGACATGTAGTAGTATTTAGGGCCACTTCCCATCCCTGGCCCTGGTTCTTTTTTCCTAATGCTATGGTTGTCCATTGGTTGTCTTGGTCGATGTACCCCCATACGGGTGAGTCTCCCTGGAACTCGATGTTTCTGTTATYATAACTGTAATTCCACTCAAAACGCGCTGTTTTACCTTGTGCCACAAACAAAAGACTTGGTGGTACTTTTGTAAAACGATTGGCTTCTGCTGAGCAAAGTCATAATAAATAAACTATAATATTATTCTATAATAATAGTCATTATAAATAAAATGGGATGGTGACAAAAGTCTTTAAAGTTGGTACCACGACCGGTTATCTCAAATTGTGTCAGAGTGGATATAAGTAAATAATTGGGATAAATTACTTAGTTGACATGGCAAAAAAAAAAAAAAAAAGGATTAAAAAAAAAAAAAAGAAAAAAGAAAGAAAGAAAAACAGAATCGAAAGTCACAAAGTAAAAAATTTTTTAAAAAAGCAAGTGACAGTGACTGAGTACATTTCCCAAAGTCGTGAGAGAGAAATATCCACTGGTTGTTTTATTAGGAGCGTATACGTATGGGCTAATAGAAGACTTTCAGTGCTGTTCTGATCTAATTCCGGCAACGGTTTAGTAAATTATTCCAATAGGTATTTGTAGATTCTTTAGAACTTGACAAAAAAATCCCTCGAAGGACAGGAGAGAACCGAAAAACAAATCAACAAACATATGACGAAAGCTCGTGGATTGAACCTACGGTCACATCAATGATAGACACCCTGACTAAAAGATGATCTATACTTACCAATGACTATAAGTTCCACTTTGTTGGTGATTAAAGGTGATATTCTTAGCACCAAAGATATTCCATACCATCCACTGTCATTGTTTGTTACGTTAGAAATGACCAAAGTAGCAACTGACTCTTTGCTAACGCGAACTGTAGGGTACAGCAGCCTTGGTGGACACGTTCGTTGACTTATCGTCCACTTCCAACCACGCAGCCCATCATCAACTGCTATGACTGACTTAGTATGTCCATCAGGGTTATAATAATACCAGACTGGAGAAGAGACATAATGTCCAAAATCAACTTCTTCGTTAACAACTGTGTAATTCCAATTGAATTTTATTGTATCGCCGACGACTGCGTATGATCTTCCGAGTGGAGTTTGTGTAAGCCGGGCGTTCGCAACTGCGACAGAAAAAAAAACCAACAAACTGACGTAAATATATAATTTTTTGGGAGATCCAGTCATTTGCTTAATTCATTCAAATTACCAAATTTAATTATTTTCGTAATTGCCAAATATGTCAGTTTTTTTTCTTGTTT